TAGTTTTGGCACAATTCCGTTGTACAGACCGACGTTAACAGCAGCCCCGTCTGTGCACACGGAGACCGACTCTGTCCGGTGATCTAACCGCCTTCTGGAAAAGCTTCACAAGTACGTCGGTACGCAAATGCGCTTTGTGACACAAGTGACGGTACGCATTTCAGATTGTTGCCGCGCATGCGTACCTGCGTACCAGTTATGTGCACCCCTGATTATAATTACTCTGTAGCTATGTTAGTTTGACAATAAAGAACCTTGTTAAAAGTATAGCTTATAGCTGCTGTAACTTGTAGCCACTGTATATACAGAGAAAAGTCTCACCTGGTTCAACACCACCCAGTTGGGGTCTATCTGAGCGTCGCCCTCGGGGTCCAGCACCACCGTCTGATACGCCCTGAAGTCGGTCAGCGTCACCTCCGCGTTCTCAGGACAGTTATCAATCCTGTCTATCACTTTGTCCTGATCGAAGTCCGACTCACACACGTCTCCAACGCCATCACCTAGGGGACAACAGAGAGGGTTGAATTAAAATGATCTTAAAGTAAGAAAGACGATTCATGTCTTAGCTTCAGAAAAAAGGAACTAGCAAATATCGTTATGTGTTAAAATAAGTTTGTTTGTTATCCTCCCAGGAAGATTCAGACTGGCTTTGATGCAAATGTCAAAAAGGGCAAACGCATCCAAGCTACGCTGCCAAAGGTTCTCTCTTTGGTAAAAACTACAAAGCTCGTGTTGCATTTGTTTATATGAGAGGTTTTATTGAAGCTGCCTCTCGTTGGCACCCTGCTGTGTGAGTGTGCTTTCAGAATACAAATGCTGCTTATGAAAAATACACCCTGGAGTTTCTGAAGCACGCCTTTGGTGTTTGATTCGTCTGATGTTTTGGATTATTACATGAAAAAGAAAATACTTGTGTTCCTCCATACCGGGGTTATGATGCGCTGCAGAATGCTGTGAATGAGCTTCAACAAAGACTCACAAACGTGTTTTTAAGAATAGAAGCTGATGCTCTGATTGGCCACTGTGGTGGCATCTTGACCAAATACAAAAGGCCGAAACCTTCTTTTAAAAGTATTTCCAGGGGTGGAAAATAGTTGCTTAGTGATCCTGTCAAACACTTTAGTTTTTCCACATGTCACTTTTCAAACCACAGTTTTAGGGATTATTATCCTTTTTTTTTAGGGATTTTGAAATATTTTCCTGGCAAAACTATAGATATATACTTTTTTTTTGTACTAGTAGGCATTATTATAATATATAATACATATAATCATATTTTCTAAAGGGATTAAGAAAGATGATTCTGGTCAGATCCATTTTTTCACATTTGTTACCGATATTAAAAACACAAATATACTTTTATATCAGATTTAGTAGATGGATCACCAGATTGGTTTCCCTGGGGGGGGTTTCAAGGCAAGGCAATCCAAAGTGCTTTACAAAAATGAAAGACATTAAAGGTAGGGTAGGTAAGAATGGAGAAACCAGCTAGAGTGCGCTAGAGTTTGAAAATACACAACCGGAAAAAATCTGCCCCTTCCTTCAGACTTCCTCACAGAGCCCCTCCTCCAACACACACGAACGCGCACATGACCAATGAGGGCACGAGATAAGTTTGTGCACAGATGGAAGACTGACAGGCAGGTAGGCCATCCAGTTACTTTAGCCGGCTCAGATGATTGGTCGTGCTTTTTACAGCGCTACGGCTTCCACAGATGACATTTTTTTATGTATTTATTGTCAAAGCACTTCAGATATTCATTACTATCGGGATGTTAAGAGCATTCCATGGAATATAACAACAAGTGTTTCTGAAGTGAATTACCTACCCCACCTTTAAGAGCACATTTCAGTGTGTTTGAGACTCACCGTTGTCGTCGATCTGGTCGGGGTTGGGCACCAGCCGGCAGTTATCGGGTCCCGGGGGGATGTTGTCTGGGATCCCGTCGTTATCATCGTCATCATCACACTCGTCTCCGAGCCCGTCTTTATCCGTGTCGAGCTGAGAGCTGTTTATCACGAAGGGGCAGTTATCCTTCGTGTCCTGGTGACCGTCGCCATCACTGTGAGGGAAGAGAAATGATCACATGACGACATTAAAGAATGTAGGAGAGAAACTAGTGGAAATAAGTTTATATATCTGCAGGAATAGGTGGGAAGTAATGGAGTACCAACACTTTGTACCTGTACTTTCTACTTCTTACATGTTGAACACAAATACCTGTACTTTCTACTTCTCACATGTTGAACACAAATACCTGTACTTTCTACTTCTTACATGTTGAACCCAAATACCTGTACTTTCTACTTCTTACATTTTGAACTCAAATACCTGTACTTTCTACTTCTTACATTTTGAACCCAAATACCTGTACTTTCTACTTCTTACATTTTGAACTCAAATACCTGTACTTTCTACTTCTCTCATTTCCCAAACAGGCTGGTTCCTTTAGTCTGAATGTGTGTTTGGTGGCGTGATCATTATTATTTAGAGTCATTGCGTGCCTATTGATTTGAACACGATCCGTGTATCCATCATTTCCTGGTCTCTCTAAAGAAGAGGGACCAATGAAAACGTTGTCATGTTGCCGTTGTTCAGCATGGAAACATTCATTAGCTAACAATGACATTATTGATCTATTAATATAAAGGGAGGTCAGGTACTCTTTAAAACAGCTGCTAGTTATGGGTACTTTTTACTGAAGTACATTTCAAAGCCTCTTTACTTTGA